GATATACGAACTTTGAGACTGCTTTTATAAAAACTATCATGCTAGCAAAGCCTTACCCTAAAAAGCTTCATAAAAAGCTTGTATAGAATGCTTTATACACAGTATGGCTTTAATCAATATGTGAATAAGCAAAACACAATTCATAAAAAGCTTGTATAGAATGCTTTATACACAGTATGGCTTTAATCAATATGTGAATAATTTTCAACTCACTGTTACAAAGACCAGGAATCTTTAGGAAACACAAGTAATATTCCTACTTTTTCACACAAAGATTAATTTCCAATAACCTAACAAAAAAGTATGTCTTACTGATTATTAAAATTTCAATATAACATTGGTTTCTTAACCATATAGCTCAGTAGCATCTTATGCAGGGTTTAAATTCTAAATAACTAGGGCAAAAATGAAAATAAAATCCCTTAAGAAGGCCCCAGATTAGAACCAGGTATGCTGTCACACAGTAAGCACAACACACCCACTACCATTGTCATTACTATTATTATTGATGGGGCACAAGCTTAAGCAACAGGGAAATATGAATAAATGAAATAGTTCCTATCCTTAAGAAATTCACACTTCAATGGAGAACCTCAAATACTAAGACAAGTGTATGTGCCGGTATGATGTGAAAGGACTCTAAAAACATATATATAACATGAATTCCATCTAAAGAGGAAATTTTTTTGTGTGCTTCCAAAGAGTTGCATAAAGCAGACTTCGATGGCAGCCAATAAGTTAAATATATATCTATCATAATAATTCACTGCACATAAAAATTAAAACCACATTTTTAAAAATCTAAGATCACGTCAGGTTTGTAAATTATGGAATTATGGTCTTATGCTACTTTATGTATGTATATGTTTGATACATCCAAATGTTATAGCGAGTAAAATATACTGGTCTAATAACAGAATGATAAAACACATTAAGCTATGAGGAGCTTAATAACAACCAAAAAGTTAGGTTCATGCATAATCAAGGCTTTCAATAACTTCCTTTTTACTAAGAAAATCATTTAAAAAATGTAAATTTGTTTTTTTAAATCCTAAACACATACCCAAACAAGCAGATTAATTTAAAAAAACCCCAAAACCTTAAACATAAATTGGGGCTCAAGTTCAGTTAGTTCCAGTTGAAGGAATAAGACTAGGAATCAGAAGGGAAGGAAGCTCCCATGAACTTCTACTATGCCAGACATTTATTTACTCAACAACTCAGTAGCTAATATGTACTAGGAACAAGAGAGAAAGCAGTAAGGAAGCCTCTAACCTAATTTAACCTCTACAACAATCCTATGAGACACGTATTATGAGCCTCAAAGAATATGAGGAATGTGGTTGAGGTGCTAGCGCTCAAATTTAAGCCTGTCTATCCCTAAAGCCCTGCTCCTATCCCTCTCTCCCACACCATGTTACCCATTAACAGTAGGGAAGTAGGCAACCCTCTGAACACGGAGATAATATCATTCTAGTTTACCTTATAAGGTGGCTGCTTGTAAGGATTAAGTGAGCTAATGTTTGAAATACTTTGAAAACTATAAAGCACTACTCAGAAAAGTCAAGTAACTTGCCCAGACCACCTAGTTGGTAAATGGAAGAGGCAGCATTCAAACTCTGTCTCCAAAGTTCATAGTAGTACACTTAGGCTACTACTACTAAGGGCTACCCACCTCCACCCTGCAGGACTTAACATGCAAACATATAACAGACATTCGGCATTCAAACTCTGTCTCCAAAGTTCATAGTAGTACACTTAGGCTACTGCTACTAAGGGCTACCCACCTCCACCCTGCAGGACTTAACATGCAAACATATAACAGACATTCAATAAATATCTTGAATTGATTTAGTTTAATTTAATTAATAAAACCCTGAAGATTCAAGAGTCTTTTTTTTGGTTCTACCTCCTTTACACTTAAAATTAAGAACTGAAAATCCAACACATACTCAGAAATCGCTGGGGTTTCTGCATTTTCAATGATCACATGCTTTTGCCAAGCACACTGAAATCTAAATCTATTTCACAAATCCCATATTACTCAAAGGCATTTCAGACTTTCACAGGATATTATATATAGTTTTGACACAACTATAAATTTGAAGTAAAAAGTGTAAAATTATAAAACTCACGATGGCTATGAGCCACATCTTATTTTATCTTTTTCTCAGATATTTCTTAACAACTTCCAAATTTTTATATAGCTAGACCCATTATTTTAAATCCTATCAGAATTTTCTGACATACACTATAAATGATTTCTTAACAAGCTTCTACTTGTATTACATTCCAAGGAACTTCAATGAAAAAATAAAGCTAATAGCATACCATGTTTAAGCAAGTTGATACTTCTATTGATATAAGCATTTAAATGAAAGTGTAATATTAAAAGAAATAATTACACTGTGAGATAAACTATAAATATTTTCAATGAAGCTACAAACTACGAAAGCTTGAAAACATATAGTCTGATGGCTATTGGCAAATATTTCAAAATACATGACGCTGAATTTTAAATTTACAGATAAATAGCTATATCATAATTTCTGATAAAGGCCAAATTTATTCAGTTAAAATTGAATTAAGCAATACATTATTTAAGGCAGTAAATTTTACTTGAATAATTATTTATAAATTATATCAAACATTTCATTTTTATCTCAGTTAATTAAATGGATGCATATAAATGTAAATTCACAGAAACAGAAAGCCATTTGCAATTTTCCCTTTTCTCCCTTTTTATGCTAAAATAATGTTTGACCCTATTAGCCTAAATTTAAGAGTTACCTTTAGTTTCAGATTTGATATATGCTGAAAAAAGGTGCAAGTAAAAATATAAGTATGCAAAGATGCAAGGCAAAAAACTCCTTATTCTCTTGCAACGATACAAGAAATATAATTTTCAGATTCTAATTAAAGTCATTTTTCTTTGAAAATCTGTAAGAGAATGCAGAAGTGTCAATTACACATTTTTCACTCAGAAAAATATTCGACATAGTAGTGAACTACTAAAGCCAATTTTGTTTTCTCAACTATTATTTCATAATAAATCTAGATGACCTATGGTTATTACTGAACATCTGACTAGAGTTCCCAGTTCAAAAGCATCAGCAAACTTTGTAAGAAATCATGTATTTCAACTCTCATCAAAAATGTTCAGTATCTACAGACATCTTTTCATCATTTAAAAATTACTACTGCAAAAAAAACTCTTGCTTTTCCTTGCTTATCTTTAAAAATCTTATAAAAGTACTCTTATGAACATTGTATTAGATGTATTTTTTAAATTATTAAATATTTTAATAGTTATTAAAATCTTATGTTTAAATATATATAAGAATCCTCTGCTTACTGAGTCAAGCCTGGAAGCCCAGATGAAATGAATAGAATAAACTTAAGCCTTAGGTTTCTGTGTATTTGTGGACAGACAGATAGATACACAGACAGATGATCCTTATCTTTCCCAGGTGATCTTTATCTTTCCCAGATAAACCTAAAAGGCAGAGGGGGCTAGAATGAAAAAAAGCACTTTTACTATCTTTTATTTTTCTTCCCTTGTGACTAGCAATAAAAACCCCGAAGAAAGAAAGCTGTGAGCCAACTTTTGAGACAGGAAAGTAGAGAAGAAAACTTTGAGACTTTCAGTTCCACAAAAGTAATGGGGAGAAACAAGAAAAAGAACAAAAGAAAAGAGGAGCAGAGTAAATACCCCAAAAGGAATGTACTCTAGCTCAATTCCCAATGCTCCTCAAGGCAGTACTCCTCCGCTTCTGATCACTGTCCATCCAGAATCCTAAATAGATCAGGGGCAAGGCAGTGTTCTCACAAATCCTACTTGCCTCTACTAAGCCCCAGGCACAGTATCAAATGGATTATCTTTTTTTCATCCTCACAGCAACCTGAGGACTGAGGCTACTACACAAGGCTGAGTAATTTGTCCAAGGTCATAAGCCTGGTAAGTGGTGGAGTCTGACTAAAAACCAAGAATCTCTATTCTGTTTACCTCCTTTCTTTGCAGATTTCAAAACCTCACTAATATTTATTGGCACAAGATGAGGCCAATATGGAGGGAACTGCTCAAACTCATCACATATAAGCAGTAAGTATTAATCGATACATATAAAACTGAAGCAGAAAAAGCTCAAGTGTTTTGCTCTGACAGAGGTTAAAGTATCAAGTATCATAATATGGTAGAATGCTTTTTCAAAATTTTGGGGGACATGAGAACTCTAGAACATTATTACTCAAAAGTGTGGCTCACAAAACAGCAGCAACTACACTAGGAGTTTGTTAAAATGCAGAATCTCAGGTCCCACCCACACTATTGAATCTGCATCTTTACGAGATTTTCAGGGAATTCATGTGTCCATTAAATTTGAAAAGTATTGTTCTAAAACAGTAAACCACACATTCAGTGGCAAAGGTCTAGACAATAATGATCCTCAAAAAATAAACACCAGACATTTCTTGGGAATCATTGATCTGGAAATGTAGGACTTTCAAATCAACACAACACTATTTTCTGCTGAATTTGTAATTCTCAATGTTTTCCAGCCACTAGCAACTCCAATGTTCCATGGCACTATTCCAAAAAAAGAAAAGCAACTGCACTTGCTTCTAGGGCCACAACGGCAGAACCTCTCAGAGGGATTTAAAGCTAGAAGACTGTCAAAAAGTGTATGCCTATTGCTACTAATCTTGAAAAGGCAATGTAGAAACAATTTTTTTGAAAAATAAAGATAACGTAGCTTAGAAAGATAAAAAATTAGAGCTGCAAGTACTTGAGAAAAGACAGGAATCTGCATCATAGTATCAACTTTAAGTTGGTTAAAGATAATACCAGCTTACTAACACTACCTTAAAAGAATTGTCTGAATATTTTAGACAAAATATTAACACGTTACTCCCTAATTTTTTTTTCTTTCACAGATTACGTATGTAGCAGGAAAAGTGGGATCAAAGTAGCCTAATTCTTTCTTAAAGCAATAAAAGGCCAAAACAGCTCCTCAACCTGGTGCTTTTGAATTTATTTCTGAGAACTATATGCCAAATAAACTTATTTATAAAGACATAATGAAGTATAGTTGGCAAATAGACTAAGATTCCTTCGTAATATTAAGGCTTGCAGAAACTTGACAATATTTACTATGTGTAATGACTTTAGATTTCTTAAATAATCATCTCAATTAGGAGCAAATTGGCCAATCTGTGAACACCACATACTTAACTGCATCAAATTATTAGCATTATAATACTATCAAAAGTTTTAGTGGTTCTTATTAGGAGCCTGAAATCAAAACAAAATCATTTTGGCTTCCATCATCATATGGTCTCAAAAATTTTCAAAATACCTATGTAGATTAGCTATCTCTATCCTATCATATATTCTTATCATAATTTCTAAATATTTTATTTTGAAAGAAAATATCCTCGTGAATAATAGTGTATAGACAAATGTAATAGAAACCTTTTAGGATATTTAATATTTTTATATAACCCAAAAATGTACTGCTTCATCTGCACTACCCCAAATAATTTTTTTAGCAACTGGCATTTAAAAAGGGAACCCAAGTAACATCAATTTGAAGTCAGTAAATATTTAAAGGTAAAGTTTTAAAACTGATACAGCAATTACTTTTCAAAATGTCTTAAAAACCTATTCTAGGATTCCTCCCATCTTCTTAGCAGCTTTAAGGAAGTTACTTACCCCTTTAAACATTGTTGAAATTCCATCCATCTCCTCAATCTAAGCAACTTAATAGAAGTAATTGGATCAAACCTCTAAAGCACTTTAAAATCTCTTTGAATTTATATAAATAGGGGCTTTGGAGTCATCCAGGCCTGAATCTGAATATGCATAACAACGTGAACCCATACACCAGCTGAGTGACCTTGGGCAAACTACTTACCCCTCTGTTCCTTTTGTTGTTGTTACTGTTGTTAAATAACAGTTGTCATATCCTCATTTGGGGGACTAAAAAGATTTTATGAGAACCACATAAAGTATCCAGAATGGTCTCAATAAGACCAACTAACCTTCATGAAAATAGCTTTTTAAAAAATCTTTAAATCTATATTAGATATGTAAACAACGTACAAATATTCTTTTTTTTTTTTAAAGATGACCGGTAAGGGGATCCCAACCCTTGACTTGGTGTTGTCAGCACCACACTCTCCCAAGTGAGCTAACCGGCCATCCCTATATAGGGATCCGAACCGTGGCCTTGGTGTTATCAGCACCTCACTCTCCCAAGTGAGCCACGGGCTGGGCCCTTATTCTCATCTTTTCTAAAAGATGAATTAGTGATTTGAAACAAGGTAACATCTAAGCAAGTTGTTTAAACCAGAGATTATGGTAGCTTTTGATTAGATTTCCTATAAAATATCTAAAATACTGTCACATATTAATTCTAATGTTTCATTTTGATTTCTTTTCAAGTTAGCCGTTTCATTTAATCAGTTTTTTAAGAGAAAAATCAATGAATTCATTTCTAGAAGAACAATATTTATTATTACTTTTTAAATCCTTGAATGTTCATACTACTACTGAGGGCATTAAAAGCCATCAGATGGTAAATGTTTTATCTCTGCAACAAAAGGGTAAAAGTTATTTGACCAAAGTTTTATTCAGATTTTTGTTATGGCTGAAATTCAACTGTCACACAAAGAGTTAACTGAACCAAGATCAGGGGAGATAAAGATATTGTGGCAATAAAATATAATAACTGATTAGAAATACTTTACTCCTGGAAATGCATATTTTTAATACAAACACACCTTTCTCACAAAGAATTTACATTTTATTATGTTTTTATGGAAGTGAAATGGAATATTTAAATTTGAGGATAAAACTTGATAGGTATGTATTAGAGATTTATAGATCCAAAAGTTTTCGACTTTGCATACATTTTAAATGAATCATTTCATTTGTCCTCATTGTTTGATTAAAAGTTTTGTGAGCTTTGTTTCTCCCTATTATTGTGTTTATTGGTTAAACAAAGTTAGTGTGTATAAACCCAGCCCTAGAGGATTTGTGATTCTTACCAGAGAAACTGCCAAGTACTGTGAAAACTTTTTACATTTCAGCCTTTAGTATTTTAAAAATTATCGCTGACATGTAAGTCTTTATGCTCACTAAAAGTCTTTAGAGTGTGTAGTTCAAAAAGCCATGTTGTTTTGGCTCAGTTTGAAGGTATTACACTTCTTTCACAAAATATTTCTTTTTATATTTACAACATAATTAAGAGATTTCTAGAACTGATAACCTAAACCTTCAATGATAGTTAACAATCAAGCATATACAAAACAGGGAGCATAATTCTATCAAAAGAACAAATATACTTTAAAAAAAATTACTTCTAATACAAATAGTTAGTGTCTGCACTTAAAAAGTACAGGAAGGACATTTTTCTTTTGATTAAAATACTAGTACCCTTGATTTTCTACAATAAAAAGATTATTCACTTTGTCGGGGGTTACTGCGGGGCGGGGTGTGGAGTGAATGAGTATGTGAAATCCTGCCTGACTAAAAAGAAATTTTACTCAAGGTAGGTTTTTTTGGTTTGATTTGTTTTACTTTTTGGCTCTGTGTGTGTGTGTGTGTGTGTGTGTGTGTGTGCGCGCGCGCGCGCGCCTGGGAGAAGGAAAAAAAAAAGGTGTGTGCGTGTGTGTGTGTGTGTGTGTGTGTGTGTGCGCGCGCGCGCGCCTGGGAGAAGGGGAAAAAAAAGGGTATAATGAGTAAAATGACAGTTTATCTAGCCTGTAAAATCTACCTTGGATCAAATTCAAATTCATAAACTCCACAAGTTTATGGATTTGCCTAGAGCCACAGAGACTAAAAATCAAGGCAGCACCGCCCATCTCTAAACCTACTAAAAGCGTGTGGTGAACTTAACCTTTACTCACTGTTGTACTTAGGGAGTAGGCACACTGTTTCTTAAAGAAAAAACAAAACCCCAGTTCTTCATGCCATTGTCTTAAGAAAAAAAAAAAAAAGGCAAAACGGTGAATGTGTTCTACTGAGTAACCTGCCTTTAAGCTGCCACTTATACATGACACTTGACTTTGACACAGTCACGTACCTGTCCGCGAAAACACACCTTATTCTTGGCTCTTAATACAGAAGCCCAGTTGGTGAACAGCAAGGCTCCGAGTGTTAGCATTTGATTGCAAAGTATCCTACCTGTCAGCGTCACTCTTTGGTCTGCATGCACCGAGAGGGCATGGTTTCCATGCACTTTCAAACCGCCCAGATTTGGGGAGGCTGCCTGCGCTCCCGTGACTTTGGGGGGTGTCCCACGGGCGCGACCCTTCACTCCTAAGGACAGAAGGCGCCCTTTATACATCCACTTCTGCAGCTTCTTGACTGTCACCGCAGGAGGCTTGAGGAAGGGCGGCCCCGCCTGGCGGTCTCCTTTGCCGCTGTGTATCACACAGGACCCCGCAGGATCCCTGAAAGGGCTTCCCGAAGAGCGGCCGAGGTCCTTGGAGCCAAGAGACAGGAGGCCCGCGGGCGCCGCGGCTCGGGCGCTGCCCCCGCTCCAGCCGTCCATCCCGCCTCCACGTGGCAAGGGCTCGTCCGGGTCCCCGCGCGCGCCGCACCTGATCCAGCTGTCGCTCGGCCACCGCTGGAAGGGAGGCGGTTTGGCACCCACCCGGAGGCTCTCGAGGCTTCTGCTGCAGGACAGCGGCATCCGAGGAGTCAGCAGCCGTTCTTCCCCCAACTCCCTCGGAGGCGACTGGGGCGGGGACACCTGCTGCCTAGGGCGGCCGCCGCCTCCCCACTCCCAGGCTCTGCGGTCCGCAGCGCCGCGGGGGGAAGGCGGCTGGCCCGGAGCCCGGGCTTCCGCGGGACAGGCGCGATCCGACAAACCCCCGACGCCCCGCCGCGCACCCGAGTCAGGGGGCAGGTCGTGCATGGCCTGGATCAGCAGATAATAGGCCTCTCGCAACTGGGTCTGCAGCCTGCTCGTCTCCGAGCGGCCGCCCTCCGCCCCCGGGGAGGAGCTCGCCGCCGGGGGAAGAGGGGGCCGCC